CCTGTAATCCTTCATAGGCAGATAGCTTTGCCAGCAAAGACAGGCGAGACTGATAATGCTATCTGCATAGATCACTAGCCGTTGTGTGGCAGCTGGCGGAGCTCGAGAATGAGCCCCAAGGCAGAGGGCGGGACTAGTGAGTTTCGTTAAGGATTAGTGAGCGTTAATCACCGAGTGTCGATCCCTTTATAGGTAGCCGGTTTGCTAGACCTGTGTCTGGCTACGTCTGATTATATTACCGTCGTGTTGTCTGCAGCTGTTTATTCATCAGACTCACTGTCTCAATGTCGATGCATCATCCGCTCCGGGTAGCCTACAGTCTGACTAATTGGCTCAGACTAGTGTATGCATACCAACTTAGGACAACTTAGTAAACAAGCTGATTTTGCAGTGTAGTTGTTGATTTGTGCGCCACTTGGATTTGGTGCTTCCTCTAGTGTCTTTCAAAGAGTTCAGACACGTTCTTAATGTATGGAAGTGTTCACCAACTCCTTGGTTTGGGCACCTGATCGGAGAAATCTAGTTCTTTTTCTTTTTGCTTCAACTCCTGTTGTCTCATCGACGCATAGCCTCCCTGAGGTTATTATTTTTAAATGTATATGTGTATGGGCAGGAATATACTACCGACAAATACAAGGGAGAATAGGATGGCAATTTCTGGGTTATAAGCCGCCCCCAGCCAGTCATACCCAAACGCAAATAGTGCCCCGACCTTTGAACCCGCGACTTTGTTAGTTAGAAGTCCAACGAACTAACTACTGCGTCACGGGCTCGTTGTCTTGCCGGCTTTTTTGATTGGGAACATGCAGTAGCAAATAGGCGCGCACAGGACACACTCTTCTGCCCCTGGTGCCTTTGGGAGAGAGAGCCCACCAATCAGAATACTGGACCTGCACGTCTCGTTGTGTCTTACGACTGTCTGTAGAGCTCGCGCATAACGCCAAGCCATACATGTATTTATGCGCTGATTCCATTAGCTGCCTACTGATTGGCTGTCTTCCCTCCCGCCCCATTTCACCTAGAACCCAATGACGAGAGTGCGGCCAACGTAGACGCTGCCAAGACCTGGCGTGAAGATCGAGCACGCTTCAACGAGATGGCTCTCCGCAGTGTCCGCCTCAGTCTCGGACTTCCTCCCGAGGGTGACCTTCCCAGCTGATGGGCTGATTCCTCCTCCTTTGTCTCCTCCCCCCCACCCCACTCCGTCTTGCGTCCGCATTCAGCCACTTCTTTTTCTTTTCCTGTTGACTTGATTTCCT